AAAGAACTATTGACAGTTTAAGAAATAGTCACAACTTTTCCTTAACACTAGGTATAGGGTGGCCTTGGGGATTAAATTAGACAATTAGACCAATGTGAGTCTCAGGTCAAGCCAAATAATTAGAAGTCAACTTTCAGTAATCTCTTTCCTTTTAGTCTCAGAAACACTTTATCAGGAAAGATAAGAGAGGAGAAAGTCTTGAGAAATTTTTCCCCCGTGGTGGTGCAGCCATGGCACACACAGGAGATATACCAAAGCCAAGTCACAAGATTCAACCTTGTGATCCAGAAGATATGACAGGGATTCCCAGTAAACTCATTTCTACAAATACAGGTTTCCCTTGCTGTTCAAAAGCAGAATATTCTTATGAAACTTTTCATAAATCAAATTGGAGGTAAAGCAAAGAAGCAGTTACCACTAATTTATATGGAAAATTTGTTTAGTGTTTTCTGACCCAACAAATAACCTACAATGGCATGTATTTATACCAAATAACACATTCACCTAAAATAACACTAACTTTTGATAATAATGAGAATGATGTGATATTCACACAGTCTGTATAAAGTGGCTCCTAGAGACAAACTTGGCAGGGCCACCTTGCTGCTCAGTGTGTCCTGCCTCCAGATTGGCTGCTGTAAAACACGTTGAGTGCCATTTTTGCTTTTTGGCTTTTGTCGTAAAGTCAAAAATCTTTTGGTTGGTTCTTGAAAACAAACTAATGTAAGTCTTGTAAAAGCAAAGTGGCAGAACATGAAATTTCAGATAACAGAAGAAACCTGAACTAACAAATTTCAAGTTTTTTGTGAATTCTTTAAAAGATTTATTTGTTTATGCATACAAGAGCTGGGGTATCAGCCAAAGGTGTGTGTGTGGGGGTGGGGGGGAGAGGAGTCACCAGAGACAGAGTGGTGAACAGAACTGGTGGATTGACTGAAATACACTGCTAAGGGGAGCAGTCAGTGAGTCAGGAGAGGTCTACTATGCCAAATGGGTAGCTGCCTGGCTGGGGATCAAACTTGCGCTGCAGTGGCTGCAGGTAGCTTTGTAGTGCAGCGTCTTAACCCCTTGCACCACCAGGGGAGGCCCCGAGATTTTTGTGAATTTTGAAGTGAAGATGACCATGTATTCACATATGGGAGATTAGGTGTCCTTCTAAAGAAGCAGAAAGACAACCAGTGATGACAGGGACTTAGGGAGCAAGAAAATCATGGTGCTGAAGCTGGCAATTGAGATTATGGCAGGAATTTTATTTTGAAATGATTTTATTTTTTAATATCTCAACCAATGAATGAATGATAATAAGGTAGAGATAGTAATGATCCCTCCAGGCCAGAACAAAAAGTACCTTGCAGATAAAGTGGATTATGTTTCAGCTGCTGAGAAATACTAAGTCTTGGTCTAGTTGATTTCTGTCTTTGTTTGTGTCTCATAGCTATTCCAAAATATGTCACATGTTTTCATGTTGAGTACTTGTAGCTATTATGGGAGAATCACTGCAAATCCAAGTGATTACAGTTGGTGAGATTTCAGAAACATAGCCACATAAAATAAACAGATGGATACAAAATTCAACCTGTGTTTCTAAGAATTGTCAGTAATTTAGATCCCCTTTCCTTTCACACTGTGTACAAGTCTAGACCTAGATGTCCAATCTGTCTCAACTTTAGCAAGATCTGAATTACAGACTGCTTGCAAGTAGTTTATAGGAAACAGGACCCCAGGAATACAGAATGAAAGCCAAGGAAAGGGTAAAAGAAGGAGGAAAAGGTAATGCCAGGAGAGACAATTGAGTTGCCATCACTAAGGTCTGAACACTTAATGTCGTGGGATATATGAGGGGCATCATGCATATCACAGATCTTTCAGCCTTCAGACACAGACTGAGAAGCATTTATCCATCTGCTCTCATCATCCATTATTCAAGGAGTATTAATTTTGTGTTTTTTTTAAATTTTCCTGTATATTATTATGTTTGACATCAGTTGGGGTTTTTACAAACCAGCAGGAGACTGTTTCTCTTAGTCCTGTGGGGTATTGGGCAGCTTGCTTGAAACATGCCTTTCAGGTACATTATGGTGGATTCAAGTCTGTTGTTCTATTTACCATCTTATCTCTCACACACCAAGACTATTTTTCTCCTGTCCCAAATCATTCCAGGAACAGAGACCAGTGATTAGAAACTATCCCTGCCCAAAGTCAATCATAATTTGCATTATCTTGCCTTTCTGGAAGAAAACTCAATACAAGTCTAACCTAGGCCTTCTCCTCACTCCTGTGTTTCCCTTCCCATCACAGTGTTTCCCTTCCATCCTTGTACGAAGGAGCATCTCCTCTTTCTCTATAACGTGAGTAATAAATTCTTTTTTAATGGCATTGGCCTGACTCAGCATTTCGGAAAAACTAAATCTTGGGTATAATTTTTCAAGCACAAAGATGGGCCAATAGGTTCAAATTCTCCTGAAATTTCTGGTTCTACCAGTCTGAAGGCTGTACAGGTTCTCGCAGGTGTCCCAAGTAGCAGCAGGCCAATGGGGAAGAGGTCAAGGGAGTGACTGAAATGAAGCTGCAAGTTATACCTGCATTAAGCAGGTCAAAGCTTGTGTGGAAATGATCATAAGACAGCAGCTTTAGTCAGAACAGAGGTGAAGAAGATTCAGGAGTGATAAACATGAGATGGCCTTTTCAGAACTCCTACACTGTGACCTGGATTATGAGTCAGAACCCGGAAAAGGCAGGTCATGGCCTCATGCAAGCCCAGCCCTTTCTTATGTGTGCATTGAGTTGCCAGAAAACTTTATCAGAAAATAATCTCTAAGTCTCAGACATAATTTGACAGATTTTTCATTAAAGCAAACTTGCCTGGTATTAGCATTGGCCATCCACAATGAGCGAGGTGGAATAGGTGCCTGTCCTTGTGGAGTTGGGCAAAGGATTGCTGTAAAAATGTAATCTCTAAGGAAAGAAAATAGTTTGAATATGCAGAGGAATTTCACCTTCTTTTACCTTGTCCCTCACCCCCTTTCTTTCAATATAAAAGTGAGGTTTCTTTCTCTCTCTCACTTATGGGTGTGAGTGTGGAGAATGGGTTCCTTTACTGGGGCACAACTCTGCTGCATGCTAAGGTAAACATCTGACTTCATTGCATCATTCCATAGAAACTGGACATAAGTGACTTGCAAGATGATGCAGGAACCTACATAATCTACCCTTCCAACCTGAATCCTATCCATAGCCTCCCAAACCCATTATCATTACAATTATATCTCCTCCTTCTCCCCATGTTGCTTAACAGTTTTTCTGCTTTTCCAAGGGCACACCCTGTCAGCTCCCAATTTCCAGCTTTTGTAGTTTTTCTTTCTGCATCATTTTCCCTATGTCTGTATTATTCTCCCTTCAGATATATTCAAGGATCATTTCCTCTTCTCCTATGCATCTCTGCTAAAATACCTCCGTCTCAGCAAGAACTTGTTCATGAAACTTCAATATATGATGCTTGGTATCTTCTCATATGCCTGATAATCTTTCCTAAATTATTCTTTCCTTAGCATTACATATTTACCAAGACTACTGGGTTTGCTTATTATTCAATTCACTTCCATGAAGCCACAAATTTCTCTCTTTTTTTTTTCTGGTATTATGTAATTAAGACCTAGCACAATGCTCTCATATATTAGGTACAAACAAGTATTTTTTTTTGAAAGAACAATTTTTTTCTATGTATTAAATTAGATAAAATTTCCAATGTGCAAAGACATTAAAAATACAAACCATTTACTAACTAATCTCCCTTCCTCATTAAACCATAATCACTCCAGCTGTTATTCTTTTTCCCCCTAAACTCACCATAATTAGAGCACACAGCAGCATTCAATAACCATTTATTTCCACAATAGTATCCTGAATTAGTGACTTATTGAAATGTTAATTCTCCTAACTTCTGTAACATTTGGTGATTGCTAGATAGTGTTTTCTTACTTAATCCTACCTTTCTTGACATATTGTGATTATCAGTGAGTGTTCAGCGATTTTCCTGAAACTTTCATTTAGTAATGATTTCATTGACATACAAAGTCATCATTTTTCTTATTCTTTGGTTAATTTCTCTCCCTTGCTCACTCCTTAGTGAGATGCCTTTCTTACAATTGTTTTAATTTATAAATATTATCTTAAAGGATAAAACATTTGCCTCTGTGAACTGCAAGTTCATAAAAAGTATGGACTAAGAATGATGTTCAGAACATAGTTGTCTAACTTCGAAAGTGTTAGAGGGAAAACCAAGGGAAATGGGACGTTCTGGGTGTGAATCTTCACCCGGGCACTTAAAACAAACAAACAAACAAACCTCAGAATAAGACCCAAGAGCAGGTACACGTATAAATTTAATAAAGGGCTATTTATAAGGGAAATGAAAAGAAGGGGAGCAGAGAGAGTGAGTGAGAGAGGTTATCGTTCCTACCAGTAACGCTGCCTTAGCTGGGGCCTGGCTTGCACACTGAAGGCAGGCAAAAAAACTAACTTCCTTCCAGCCCACGTCTTCCCTTTTCTAACAAGCATGCCACTTAACCCCACCCTTCATTCCCAGCAATCCCCTTCCAAGGGTTATGGCAGATCCATGGCCTGATGGAAGTTTGAGTCCTAGGTGCCTGGGCTCTCCGTGGCATGGAGGTGGAGGGGGAGTTCATTAAGGGCATACTGGTCCCCCCCAAATTATAACTGAACAACTTCCCAAAACACTGATCAATCAAGTAATATCTTCTAAACTAATAGTTGATTTTAAAGTGTTTTAGAAATCCAAATTCATCTCTAATTTTCACTTAAAAATCTTCAGTATTTTTGCTATTTACTATGAAAATCCATTCCTACAAATTTCATGAAATTATTTAGGTAGAATAATATCCAAAAGTATGAACAGATTTTGTGACCTTTATTAACTTATCAGAAGTTGTCAATTATTCAGCTGAATCTACATTATACATTTCAGTTAGTATTGACAGCAATTCAAAAATTATTTATTAAGCAAATTAACAGCAATATTAATTCAAAATTAAAAATAGAGGTACAACAATAACAAAATTATGCAAACATGTAAGGACTAGTCCTTGTGAGTACTCTTCCTTTAACCATTGTCACTGGGTATTTTCATTTTATTATTGATTTCCAGAGAATTTAATTAAAATAGTGAAGGCTGAATTCCAAAATCTCTTGAAATAGATTCCTTGCAACCTTTAACTTCATTACAGTTTCCCAAACAATGAAAGACAATGTTCCTAGAGAAATGGTAAAGGTATTTAAAGTTGTAAGTAAAATTTTAATTTTGATCTCAAATGTTAAAATAATTTTTAAAGGACAAGTTAATTTTTACAGAATGAGCATGTTTTCTATGTTATTTAATAAAACATGTCTTGTTATTTAAAATCATATTATACTTTCATATACAAGCTTACATACATAAACAATTAAAAATAGATATAGCAACAATTAAATACATAAAAACTCATGAAAGGTGAAATACCAATTTTCACAAATAAGACTAATGGGGAAAGAACCATGAGTGCTTTGATGGTGGGGGTTGCGTGGTAACATACATTTGAGGTGTGAACCTACTCCCCTAAATCACATACATTGTTGTAACCTTATGGAACCCAAAGAAGACAAAACAAAAAAAAAAGTTTGCTAACATTCAGGTGTTCAACATTATAATACATCTTTATACGGCATGTGCACTACCAAAAGACTAAATTCCATCCATCATCTCCAATTGATACCCTTTACTTCTTTTTTTAAGATTTATTTATTTATGTATAGAAGAGCTGGGGTACAGGCCAGAGATGCAGGGGGTGAGAGGATTCACCGGAGATGGAGTGGGGAACAGAACAGGCAGATCTACTGAAATACACTGCGGAGGGGAGCAGCAGGCGAGCCAGGAGAGGTCTGCTGCGCCATGTGGGTTCTCCCTGGCCATGGATCAAACTTGTGCTATAGAGGCTGCGGATTGCTTCATAGTGTGGTGCTTAACCCCTTGTGCCATCAGGGAGGCCCTTACTCTTTTTTTAATCCGTCCCCCCACCAGCTTTCCCTCTAGTATCTCCAAATCTGTTCTCTGTATTTATGAGTTTTGTTTGGTTTGTTCATTCTTTTACATTTCACAAGAGTGATTTACTTTTTTTTTTTTTTTAAAGATTTATTTATTTATTTATACAAGATTGATTGATTGATTGATACAAGCACTGGGTACAGTCAGAAGCACGGGAGGGTGAGAGAATTCACCAGAGCAGGGAGTAGAGCAGGCAGAAGGACCGAAGTACACTGCTAAGGGGAGCAGCAGGCGGCAGGAAAGGTCTGCGCGACATGCGGGACCCTCCAGCGGTGGCCGGGGAGCAGCTGGGGATCGAACAGGCGCTGCAGAGGCTGCGGGCAGCTTCGCAACCCAGCGCTCAACCGCTGCACCACCGGGGAGGACCAAGAGTGATTTACTTTTATCCAACTGACTTACATTGCTAAGTGAAATCACATGGTGAAAAGACAAATACCATCTATTATAAACAATCTATAAATCAGATCATTTCTAACCATCTCTCAGTCCCTCACCCTTTACATACTAGGAGGTTATAATTAGCTTATATCATCTGTATCTAGACAGTAATTTCTCTGTCTGACAAGGTGGCAAAGATGATTGGCAGATCAACAAATTTTGTAATTCTCCTATTAATGGGTCTCTCCCAATCCCCATCTACTGGGACTATATAACAATTCTTGCCAAAGTTATGTGAGATACAACTGTATTTGGTAGTTCTGGACCTTTAAATTGCAATGCTATTTTTATTTTTAATCAAGTAATATTTTAAACCTCAAAATATCCATAATTGACAGAATAAGATATTAGGGATGAAATGAGATTATAAAATCCATAGTCTGCAGAAAGGCAAACAGTATTTTAGTCCATCAAGATGACAGAACATGAGTAAAATGAGATTCCAAACATCTACTTCTTTTGAGTCCTTTAAAGAGATACAGGTCAAGTGTTTTAATTTTCACTTGTAAACAACATGAGTCAAAATGGACAATGAGGTAAACTAAATACTACACAGGATAATTTAAAAATGCTAGGTAAAACACCATATTAAAGACATAGAAATCAGTGTTCACTTTGGTCTCTAGTATGGTTACAGCTGATAATACCAAAAAGCAAAATTCTGATAAGTAAAATCAGCTTTGTGGTGGGTGTCAGTGGTTAATAGATGTGAGTGATTCAAGAGGTAGTCAACACCATCACGTTCAAGCTGGTAACTCTCCTAAGCGTTAAGTCACAGATGGATTAAATAGCATAATAGTTTCTCACAGTACAGTACAGTACTTTTTCTGGACTTTTAAAGAGGGGCCAGTTTCTCTGATTCCCTTGACTTTGTGAAGCTGTGAAGATTGATGGTACCACACTTAGAAGGATCCTATTTCCCTGAATTACCATGAAAGAAAGCCTCCTGCTAATAAACACCCCAAATCCTTATGTGAATCAGAAATATAATTCTACTGAATTTTGCTATTATAATTTGAAAGCTTATTTATTCAAACACCAAATGCTACCTAAGTAATATATACATTATGTTTAAATGTAATGAACAATACATTAATTTTAATGTTGATTCATATCCTATTTCCGAATTTTATTTTAGGAAATAGGAATTAAACACACACACACACACACACACACACACACACACACACATTCTTTTTTCCCTCAACAGAAAAAGAGTAACTGGTATCTGGGAAAGCAAATTATATTATAATTTTAAAATTTACAATTATGTAATTTCTTCTTCATTTTCCACTACCAGTAAACATAAAATTTGGAGGAATATGCCTTCCTCCAAATCAGAATTTTTGGGGCGTCAGATTTTTTTTTTTACATGTATAATCAATAGAACAGGATGAAGGACATTCATATAAGACAATTTATTTCATGGTTCTGTTAGTCACGCAAAGTTTCATTATTATATTATTATGTTTTCACTTAAAATCAAAATGAAACAAAATTGTAAAACATTGTCAAAAAAGCTTTCTGCTGCAAAAAAACTTGGAAGAAAATGAACTTATCTCCTTTTTTTCCTTGTCAAACTAAAATGTGGTGATATTCTGCTGTTATTTTCAAGTATCCCAGTGGAAAGTATACTCCAAGTAAGGAAAATATTAGAGAACATGGTAATGCAATGAACCCTATCAGAGATCCACAAGGACTATTGTTAAGACCTTGAAACAGATACTTATACAAGTCAATCTTTCCTTCTTTAGACAGTCCTTGTAAACATTCATAGTTATGAATTTAATGCTATTTCATTACCTATGAAATCAAGGTACAGGGATTTGTAAAATAATAGTCTGTATTTCTTACCTGTGTATTTATGTACTTTGTGAAGAAAACTTAGAGCAAACAGGACAATGTTTTGTAAGTTAGTGAAATCCCTGATGAAGTGGCCTTTATCCCCACTAACAAGCATTCGTGTTGGCAGACCCTTCTGGAATTCATGCGTTCTCATCAAGGTTGAGGGAAAGAGTGGTGGAGCTAAATAATCCACAAATAAAGCCCAGTTGCTTTCAAAATCTGCTTCTTGTTTAGAATAATATTTTAACCTATTAGACAAGTGAGAAGGAAGTATACATTTAGAATTAGTCCACTCAGAATTCTGCCAATTAAATTTTCAAAACAGACCTGCTAGAAACTACATTCTTCTATGTGTTAGGATATGCAACATAGAAATTCAGTGTTGATGGTGGCTCCTAGATTTGAAAATCTGAAAAGACAATATTTGATTATTAAATGTGCAAATTACCATCCTAGAAAATATGTATTTTAGTCAAATGTTTTGCCCTTTTTACAAAGCATGCAAAAACTTGATAAATTCTGAAATGTGACTGAGTCTTTTTATTTTAACTTGAAAATATAAAATCACATTGGAAAAACTTCAGTTAGATTTGGGTATCTTTTGAAGAACACATGATTTTTATTTAAGATAGCCACTAAAAACTGAAATAACTTGCAGAAAAATTTTCTTATTTTTAGGTAGTTTGATATTTGGTCTATTTTTCTGATAATATATACTAGAAACACCTTTTTTCTGTACTTGTGAAAGAAATTTTAAATTTATTTTTAAAAATTTTCAGTGAATAATTTTATATCATTTGTATCACCTATTCTAGTAAACTCTTGAGCTGTATTTTGAACCATGCTCATTCCCTGGGAAATAATTTATATTCTGCATCTTGCTCATCAATCTCTAAGGTCTTCTATGTTAATTTTGGACATTATATGATTTATTGCATTTCCCATGTATTACTCTAAGTAATATAGGCATGGGGGTATAGATGTCATGGACTAGAAAGTAATAGCTATATACCATCTGGTCAAGGAAACACATCTGTATATATGTTGTTCATCTGCAGCTATGTGAAGACAGAGGGTAAAATAACCGCTTTGACTACAGAAAAATTGATTAATACTTTAGGTTCTTATCAAAATACCAATGGCCAACTCTCAAATTTATGAAAGAGAAAATACATGAAGATATTCAGTGCAGGTCATACAATCTTAATAATAGTTTGACTAGACATTGCATAGAATGTAGGGGAGCCAATAGCACATAAAAGAGAGCAAGGGATGTGGACATATCCTTAAGGAGGGAAGAAGAGCTGTGGTTAAGTGTCTCTTAACATCATTTTTATATACAGCATATATAGTTTTATTAACAAAGACGCTATGAGGGTAAAAGCATGGACTTTGGATTCAGACAAAATTTGATATAAATCTCCCTCCTGCCACTATCTACATATTTTCTGAAGAGTTATTTCATATGAAATTTCATTGTTATAAAAATTGAGTGAATTATAGGAAAACTCATAGTTCAGAATCTGGCACTATACAGATATTATAAAAAGAAACTCTAGAAATAGGAGGGTGTGACACCTGTGGAGACAGCATGTAATAGCATAGTAAAGATAATGAAGGGCGTAAAGTAAATATGTTACTATAAAAATAATTGCACTTATAAACACACATTTCTATTAGGAATAACTAAAAGATATTTTTTCCTATGGAATGTGAAAAAAAACAGACACATGTACAATTAAACTTATTCATCCAGCAATTCATGTGATTATCAGTTTGATTCAAGTTATTTATAAATTTGCTCTATTGAAATAGTATTCAAATATAATCACATCCAATAGTTAAAAATAGATGCAATGAAAACAAAAAATCAAGTGAGCAAATGACAGACCTTGTACAACATCTATAAGAAAAATTATCTACAACATCCTTGAACTTTAGCTACTTGAAGTGCTGTCAAAGTTGCAAGAATAAAATCTGACTCTCTTTTTTAAAAAAAATTAAATTTTTTATTTTATATAATTCTTACATCATTTTTTTTTTTTGCACAATGTATTCATTTTCATTTTGGTTATATTCCCCATGCAATTGCACCCCCCCTTATTGGACTCTAATCCTTCCTCTCCACACCCCTCCCCCACCCTCATAGTGTGTCTCTGGTTTATAGTTACTTGTTGATTTTGATAAAACCTGACTCTCTTATCCCTAGAAAAGGCAAATGTCCTGTAGACACAACATGTGGCCACCATACCATTTTTAGAACTCTTCAATCATTCATCAAAATTTACCTCAGTAGATATGTTTTTGTAAGCATCCAATCAGTCATATCTCATATCTGAAGTCAGCCCATCGGAACAAACTGTCTACATAAATATACTTCTAATGCCAATCGACAACTGTCTTACCTGAGTGACTTTCTCATACTATTGACCCAATCCACCTATGCCTGAAAATCCACTGATCCCTTAATGCTGTGACTGTGTCAGTGACACTGTGTCTGACCAACTTAGCTCTCCCTTCCTAGAGTTGAAATAAATTCAATTTTGCCATTTTAATCCAGATATTGAGTGCTGATCCTATCACCCTTTGAAATTACTATGGAAATGTTATTTTCTAGAGAAATGTAGTTTTCCATGTGCTTGGGGAAAAGCTACTAATAAAATTATTATTTTATAAACTATTTTTTATAAACTATAATGACTTGATTTCAAGTTTGATGTCAATAACCCTCTCTCTACTTCCTTGACTGATAACCTCACCCCTCCTTGGTAGTCATCAGAAATAAGTTGAGGAACTGAGTCATAGCAAGAAGATTTTATGATGATTATAATCCTAATTATTCTGCTGGACTTGCAAAGAGGATGAACTCTTGTTGATCAAGGTAAAATCAACTTTTGAAGCAACACTAAGAAATAAACTATACATAGAGTCTCTTGTCTCTGATTTGCTTATCTTAATAGTATGTGAGGTCAGTGGGAAAGATAAATGTAGGTGGTTAGTAATAAGTCCTCAATCACGTGTGCCTGTGTTTACATATGCTTTTAACCCCCTTTCTTTCCTTCTTGCTATCCTCCATTTCTTATTCTGGGTGGCACACACCACCTCTAATAACGTCATTCACTTCACATACTGTTTCATTTAAACTCACTTGCTATAAAATGGAGGGAGAATTTTGACATTACTTTAACTCTCTTGCTTGCTAGCCAAGATGGTTGTATATTTCCTTCCAAATAAATTGCTAAACAAGTTACATTCTTTGATCAAAATGATGCAGAGATCCTATAGCTACTTGCCAATTTGGTCTATGGACACCAGTTTGTGTTTAAACAGACTTTTAAAACTTTTCTGTACTGGTTTTGTTTTATTATTTTTTTTATTTTGTTATGTTTCTTATTTTCCTGTCAGTTTTCTCTTTATCATAGCATTCCCTCATGGTTCACATATTAGTAAATTGAAAAAGACTTCAAGGGACAGTGAAAGATGTAAAGATTGATACCATATTAAAACAAAATAACTTTAGATCCATTCTTACCTATTGTCAAAATTTTTATGAGCAGCCTGCGAGGATGAGACATGTGCAGCCCATAGGTACTTCAACAGGTCTTCAAAGCTACTAGAATGTGACTGAACATGCTATCCAAGAAGAAAAATGGCAATATTGAGGCAAACAATCTCCTATCTTAAAAATCTATTATATTCACAAATACTATATATCACAAATACTATTATATTCACAAATACTATTATATTCACAAATCTATTATAGTCACAAATACCTCTCCTCTCATTCTAAATGAGAGGAGACCATTTTTCTAAGAATTAAGGTTTAAATAATTTGATGCTTAACACTCCCTAAAAAGGTTAATATTATGTTAATTACTAGTAATGCTGAATCCATATGGGAAGAATAAATCACATATTTTTGAAATGTTCAAAATTTTATACTATTCAGAACCCAATCTTTAATATTTTATTCATTTGACTATCCCCTGATATGCAATGAAATTTCCAAAAAATATTTAAAAAGTCAGAAATAGGAAGAATAAGAGGTATAAATGCATTTTATTTAGTCATATGCAATATAATGAACAATTTTTCTAAAAGGAAATTTGATCTTCGGTCATGTACTCTCAGCCATGACACTTTACTTGGAACACCAAAATCTGATTCTCATTGTTAAATAATTATTTTAGTCAATTCATATGTGATTATTTATCAAGAGAATTGAAATAACTTGATCAATTTCACCACAACTTATTCTGTAATTGTATTTCTGAACAGATGATTGCTTAGTTTATCTGAAATTATGATGAACTTGGACACTTTATGCACTATTAATTGACAATTTCTTTGGGCTCACATATCCGCATGTAATTTATGTGGTGCCAGAAGAGTGGATAGGGCAACCATAATACTGTACTGGTAATAAGAAAGATGTCATGCTATAATCTGCTTCTATTAATATTGCTGTCATCATAAACATTTTCATATTAGGAACTTTATTTTTTAGGTCCATATTGTTCAATGCATCAAATATCCTACGTTAAATAATTGAAGAGTTATCTGGTTGCTCTTGGAAGCATAAATTAAAACACTAAAAATCATAACCTGATAAAATTCATTCCACTTTTTCATTGCTTCTGGAAAAGATGAACGACAGCTAGAAATATTATAACAGAAATTCATTTGATCCTTAGATGGTGGCAGAAATGTGACATTGTCTGATGATATCCCCATTATGCCAGAATCAATTGCAGCAAGGAAGGGCATTGCAGAGAGATAATAATTAAAGGCTGTATAAACAAAAGAATTATTATAAATGTTAACATTTGAAAGTGGTTTTATTTTGAATTAAAGAAATCTATTATAAAAGTAAATTCATAGGATGTGGAGAAAAAAGAACTCTCCTGCACTGCTGGTGGGAGTGCAAACTGGTCCAACCAATATGGAGAGCTGTCTGGAGATTCCTCAGTCTGCTAAAGATGGAGCTTCCATATGATTCAGAAATTCCACTCCTAGATACTTACCCGAAGGACACAGAAACATTAATTCAAAAGGGCACCTGCACCCATATGTTTATAGCAGCGCTATTTACAACAGGCAAGCTATGGAAACAACCCAAATGCCCCAAAATAGATGACTGGATCAAGAAGATGTGGTACATATACACAATGGAATATTACTCAGCTATCAAAAAAGATAAACTCATGCAATTTGCAGCAACATGGATGGAGCTGGAGGGGATCATGCTCAGCGAAATAAGCCAGAAAAAAAAAATACCAGATGGTCTCATTCATAGCAGGAACTTAGAAAACCTAAATAAGGGACCAGGGAAAAGACTAGTTATAATAAAGTAAAAATCAAAATCAACAAGCAACTATAAACCAGAGACACACTATAGGGGGTGGGGGGAGGAGGGAGTAGGATCAAAACAAGGGGGGGGGAATTGTATGGGGACTATAACCAAGATGAAAATGCATACATTGTGCAAAAATGAAAAATGATGTAAAAGATCTATAAAATAAAATTTTTAAAAAAGTAAACTCTGAGAGCTAGAAACGTGGTAAGATTTAACTAGCAGTTCTGGGTTTTTCAGAGACCATCGGAAAATTTCCTTTTCTGACACAGGCAACTCAAATATGTTTCTCTTTAAAACTTTACCTTCACAAAACAGAATAGATTTATGTTGTAGATTTATTATTTTAAATCATGGATAATAACTGCACTGGAATTAAAAAAATAGATTCTAAAGTACAATAGATAACAAAGAAAAAATAGAAACATCTATAGAACACTATATTTTTTGAATATATCCTCAATTTGATAACCCGATCTATTTTAAACATTTGCTAATATATACATATTTTCTTGTTGACAAAGCTTTATTTGATAAGAGATCATAAATTCTTCTATTTATTTTTATAATCAGATAAACTAATAAGGAACATTTTAAATATCTAGCTAAAAACCCATTTCAAAACATTCAGAAGATTTGAATCAAGCAGATTCTTGTAATAAAACCAGTTATGTTGGCACTTATTTTTGTTCTAATTGAGATTATAGGTCATATGGATTCTTTATAGAAAGGTCATCAACTTGAGTTCTGATTGTTACATTTAACTTACCAGCCCACCAACTGTCCACGGAGATGCACAGATGAGCCCCAGAAGTGTAGCCACAGTCTGTTTTTTGGGTGGGATCAGCTAATCTGCCTAAAAGGGACACCCAGACATGGGTTAATGAAGTAGAAAAAATAAAAATATTTAGCAAGATCCATTATATTTACAGGAAGGTACAAAACATTTATTCACTGAAAGAATTGTGACAGCATTTCCCCCACTGGCATTCCTCTGGCTTTTTGCTTTGTTTCCTTTGTCTCCCATTCATATTCTTTCCTTCTCGTTAGCATCCGTGCAGTAAGTCTCTGCATCCCCATGCTGGCATGCTCCTTGCTCTCATGGACTTTTTTTTTTAATTTATTTTTATTTATACAATAGCTGGGGTACAGGCCAGAGGCACAGGAGGGTGAGAGAATTCACCAGAGAAAGATCGGGGAGCAGAACAGGCAGACTGACCAAAAGCACTACTGAGGGGAGCAGCGGGTAAGACAGGAGAGGTCTGCCGCACCATGTGGGTATCTCCATGGCCGGCCGGGAATCGAACCCGCGCTGCAGAGGCTGCAGACAGCTTCACAGCGCTGCGCTCAACCTGCTGTTCCACTGGGGAGGCCCCAGACATTTTTTTTTAAACATCTGTAATTTGTATTTCTTCTACTCACCTAACTCTTCAACTCTTTGCATTCAATATTAGAGTCAATATTTATGTGTATGAAGCAAGCTCTAGACTGTTGGCCTAAAACCAAATCCTTTTCCTTTGCTTCACCACTATTTAACCCTGGGCAAATAACTACAATAAACTTCATTTTTTTAATCTATGTACTATAGAAACTAACAATAATTACCTCATCGAGGTTTGGGGATATTAAATGAAAAAAGGACATAAAAAGTGCTCAGGACATGTGCTAAAAAATATTAGTCATTATTCAATTTTTTCACTTTTTCTTTATATCAAGTTCTTTTATCTCCTATTTTCTTTTTTTTTTTTTACTTTTTTGTTTGTATTTGGAAGTTTAGGATTCCCCTTTCTTGTGAAGCTCTGTGGTGCTCCCACGAGCACATGTACTTCTCTAGTGCTTCTCCCTGTTTTGTTTTGCCTCTCATGCTCTCCGATTACCCCTTATGCCTCAGTTCTAGAGCCAGCTTTCAAGGCTAATTTTTGAGTTTGGCTTTATCTGACCCTTTGTCTAGTTTCTCTATATTCCACTTATAAGTGACACTATCTGGTATTTGTCTTTCTCCTTCTGACTTATTTCACTGAGCGTAATCCTTTCCAGTTCTTTCAAATCTTCCCTTTCTGCTTCTTTCACACTTGAATTCTCATCTGTTCTACCTTTTAAATATATCCCTGTATATCGTTTCCTCTGTCTCTGATTCTATGAACATCTCTTTCCCCTTTTCAACCATCTCCACATCTAATTTATTTCCTGTACTCCTGCTAACTTTCTTTTATCTTCATTTCCCCCCAGTGGTTTGACCTTCAGTATTACTTTGACCTCTCTCATGTTCAGGTTTTACTCATTTATTGGGAACATCCCCTTTTTTTCTCCAAGTAAATCTTCTCCAGTAACATTTACACTTTCTTCCTTCTCTTTCCTGTTCACAGTATTTTCTTTTTTAAGATTATTTATTTATGCATACAAGAGTTGGGGTACAGGCCAGAGGTGAGGGGCGGGCATGAGAGGATTCACCAGAGACAGAGCGGGGAACAGAACAGGCAGATTGACCGAAGTACAATGCTGAGGGGAGCAGCGGGTGAGTCAGGAGAGGTCTGCTGCACCATGTGGGTAGCTCCCTGGCCAGCTGGGGATCGAACTCTTGCTACAGAGGCTGTGGACAGCTTCATAGGTTGCATCCTAACCCCTTGCACCACCAGGGAGGCCCCTGTTCACAATATTTTCTATGTCCTTTCTTCCCACCAGTTCTACACATGCTTCTCATGAGTCTATTTTGTTTCTATTTTACTTTCTATCCTAGTTTTTCATTTAATGCTTTTGGACATGCTTCACCTAAAGTGGACAAGAACACATTTCTGAGAAATCTGTTAGTTCATGTAGAGTTCTCAAAATTACTATTCCTCATTTGAAATAGAATAATATTCAAATGTGTGAAACATTCTTCTCTTGGTTTTGGGGTTTTATCTCATTTGGGAGTTGTTATGAATTTTCTAGACTTTCTCTTCTTATAAACCTCCTCAGTCTCTGAAGAAGTTTATCCATGATGCTAACCTAAGGATTCCTTTATGTGGTGACTTCCTAATCTTCTACTCTGATTCCTCAGAATGTTTCAGTTCCATTTTTGTTAAATAGCCACAGAACTCCTTTATTGGTGATTAATTCTCTTTCCAACTGAGTCTGCCTAAGACAACACTTGGCCTTGACAGTCAGGGATGCTGCTTCATCAACCTTCTGTTTCATGTCAGAGAAGGTTTACCACTCTTCGGCATGCTTAACTGTCCCCCCCTTTTCTATAGTCAAACTGTGTCTAGGTCCTGTTGTGCTAACCTCTGAAGAACACTGTACTTGCTTTCCTATGACAAGAAATACATTATTCTCAATAAATGACCAAAAGCTGTATTTTGTTATGCCAATGTTTTAAGACCAAAAGTGTACTAGATGCTGTATTTGTTACTATGCAAAGACAAATTTCTGCCATAAACTTAACTTATTTTCCAATTATATTATTTCCCTAGCACAAGTTATGTAACTTTGTACTCCAAAACTCACCCTTTCTCTTTCTCTTTTTCTCTCACATATGCAATGCTTACTCAAAACTGTCTTTAACTCATTCTATTTCTTTCTTCATGATTACTTTTAAAATTTTAGCATTCTATCTTTCATTTTTTTCAAGATTCACTCCATATATTACTCTATTTCCAGGTTTTTCCAGCATACAATACTCACTTTTATTCAGTATTGTAGGCTTTTGCCATTTATTATCCTCTGGTTATGTAATTTCTTATTTTCCCTCTAATCATGTTGTTAGTCCTTTAAGGGAAGGCATAAAAAAGTACTGTAAATATCTTCTCTAATCTTTAAAAAAAAAAATAAAAATCTTCTCCACTGGCCACAACTTTCTTTTCATTTCTTCCTTATCCAGCTTCAAGTCCCAACATTCTCTTCCCAATGCTAACATTTTTTACCATTAAATCTTCTTTTAAGAAATAAAAATGGGGGGCCACCCCTGGTGGCGCAGCCGTTGAGCGCTGGGCTGCGAAGCTGCCCACAGCCTCTGCAGCGCTGGTTCAATCACTGGCCGCCAGGCGAGGGTCCCACAGGGTGCACAGACCTCTCCTACCGTGCCCGCTGCTCCCCTCAGCAGTATATTTCATCAATCTGCCTGTTCTGCTCCCTGCTCTGGCTCTGGTGAATTCTCTCACCCTCCCGTGCTTCTGACAGTACCCAGTGCTTGTATAAATAAATATATAAATCTAAAAAAAAAAAGAAATAAAAATGAATGACTATTGACATAAGTAACTAGATGGATGAATCTCCAAACAATTATGATGAGATTAACCAGACCAAAAAAAAACCAAAAACCAAAAAAAAAAAAACAAAAACAAAAGCAAACAAAAAACCAGAGTACACAACTATTTTTATGAAAATTCTAGATCATGCTATCTCATCTGTAGAGATGTAAAGTAGATCAGTAGCTTGTGAAGCTGGAAAGTGTAGTGGGCAAGGAATTGGGGGAGCAGGAGGTTAAGGATGGAGTGAACACAGTGGACAGTGAAGTTCCTGAAGGTGAGCATACAAAGGGGAAAAAGAAAATTTTTAGAATGATGCATTTTATTTATCATCTGTGATGATGGGGTCAAGGCTATATATGCATATTAAACTTATCAAATAATACATTCTTAATGTGTGCTTTATTATAAACTTCTTATATATTATAAAGTTTTTTTTTTTAAAAGAAATTCTGCTAGGCAAGCAAGCAACAAACACTTAAAGTGCTTAAGTTTTGTGCAAGCATTAGGTCCTTATTACTAAATTGCACCATATTCTCACTTAAGGGCTTATTCAAGACTCCTCAGTCTGAGTCCTAACACATTTCTTAGCTGAGTCCATATAGATCTTCTTAAATTTATCTTCCACTATTTTTTTTTTCATAATCCAACTATCCCAAATATGTAGTAGTCTTCCACCCAATACAACCTATATTATTACCATCTTTTAAATTTGTTTCTTAGCAATTATATTCTAGTAATGCCTCTACCAACTTCTTTGGTCCTACTTTTTGTATAAATTTAACCCATGGTTGTCTCTTGTGTTTCCTGAGCTGCTCTTATGTTTACAGTGGTTTTAGATTTAGTATGCCATTGGTGAAATACTTTTATAGACTACTTTCATTATTTTTAAGCTCGTTTTGATTTTCTCTAGTTGGACCATGTGGTATATTTACAATTCAATGAAATACTAAGTAAAGTCAGTCACTTAATAAAATAGAATTCCATTTATTGTGTCCTTAAATGAAAATGAAAATTTGAGAAGCATCCAGTTTAACATTCTACCTTGTCTTTGGTTCATGACTGGACCCAGGATAGAAAATTGTGCTAATAGTGGCTTTACGTGCTCGTCAGGGGAGCTGGTTATAGTTTAAGTGGACCTTATGTTTGATTTCCCCCAGAACCTTGTCTCAGGGGATCAGATATTCCTCTTCTCCAGGCCAAGAACAACCTAAGAATAGGAATTATACTGAGTGCAAGAAGATCCCTCTGAAAACCTTGGTTGTGATGTCAGCTGAGGATATCATCATAGATCAGATCTTACAGGCCTATCTTTCCCACCACTGCATTGCCTCATTAATTACTTTCTTCCAATACTATTTTCTAGAAGCTGATAGTGAAAGTTCCTTATTTCTTGTATGCCATTGTTAGCTAGAACAAGATAGCTTGGGATTTAGGATATTTTTGATCCAAAACCAAAAATCTACTTCCATTCCTTAGTGTAGACACTATTTTCATGGAAAGAACACATGAGAGAAAGGTTTCCTAACAGGTTTTTTCTCCTTTGTCACTCAAGTCTATATGATTACTTGAATTGTAGATAATACACTCTTCAATCTTGTGTATTTAATGAATATCATCCATCAGTTCTTAGACCTAGTCTTGATTCCTAGCAGCACCTCAATAAATGGCTGTTGATATTAAATGAATCGTGTCTAGTATGCTGTGTCTCAGAGAATGTGGTGACCACTAGCCATTGTGGCTACTAATATTGAAATTAAGAAAAAGTAAGAATTTGGTTTTGTGGAAGCATCAGTCATTTGAAGTAGTCAATATTCAAGGGACAAGTGATTACAGGATGGCTTCTGTTCCTGTACTAGATATAGAAATATAGATTTTCATCATTGCACACAGATCTATTGGACATTGGTGGGTAAAAAGACCATACAAGTATTATTCCATAAATGTTTGATAAGACAACACTTATGGGGAGAAAATAGGAAAGGAGTGGGAAATAGAATGGCTGAGAAAGAGATTAGTTGGAGTTGGAAGGGAAAGAGAAAATATAATCAATTTTCAAAAATGTTGTGTTATTTGTAAGGTATTACCTCCTAGTTAATTTAAATTTAAATCAAAGGGTCATTGAAATGAAAGAGTTTCCTTCTTACCTGTATGATACTGCCATCCAAAATGTATAGGCAGAGGGGACGGAGCAACATGGCGGCGAGGAGACGCTGCGAGTAAGATCTCCCATTAAAAAAAGTGAATAGGGAGGAAAAGCGGCAGGTCCCAGTGAGAACCGGGACACGGAAGATAAACGGGTGACGCCAGCAAACTGCCCCAAGAAGAAAGTGGCCATAAAAGAGGACCAGAAGGGAGGGAAGCGCAGAACCCTGCTCCCCTCCCCCGCCCACAGAGGCGGCACTCTCCGACCGGCAGAGAGGAGGAAACAACAAACCAAAACGACCAACAAGAACAAACGACGCAGCAAGCGGGACTGTGCGTGGAAAGGAACTATTGCAGCCACCACACCCCGTGAACCGGAGCTGTGGAGAACCCTGCAGGATCCGCCGTGGAGGTGAGCTCCGGGCGCCATTAAAGAGAGACCCCGCCCAGGAGGAGACCAGCCCCAGCACACAGCCCCGGGCTGCCCGGTAAGCCTGCTCGGAAAAGGGGCGCGCTGGAAAAGCAGGCGCGGAGCGCGGTCAGGATTGCCCGGAAAAGCGGCGCGCTGGAAAACCAAGTGCGGATCGGAATCGGGATCGCGCGCGGAAAAGCAGTGCAGTTGAAAAGCAAACGCGGATCCAGATCGCAGCTGCCCAGGTCCCTGTGCCTGCATCCTAGGCTTGCGGGGAGACGCGCGGAGGCCCTCACTGAGTGAGCAGGAATCAGGCGCCCAGGCACGGGAGCGGGATTCAAAAGGCGCCATTCCTGTGCCACTGAACTGGGCTACAGCCTGAGTCCTGGAACTGAGGGCTTTGGAACTGACACCCGGGACACAAAATTAGGGGCGTGGGTTCCCCACGACGGTGGGGCACAAGGCAGACACAGCACCCCAAAGCCGTTGAGGTTTACCCTACCATTCCCGCTCTATTCCCTGTCCCACGGGGTGGAAAATCAGCTCCCCAAGGGCTCCAGGAGAGATCTCTGGCGCCACCTAGCGACTTGAAGCCAGCAGAGGCGCCTAGAGGAGCCAGTGGCCAGCTGGGGAGTTAGCCCAAGCCGGGCCCCTTCCGACCAGTAGTCTGAGCCCACAGGGGGAGCGAGCACCCACAGCCGGGGCAGACCAGGTGCGCAGAAGAGTGTGCCTGAGACCGGACGTGCAGGGAGTGTGTCCCACATCACCATCTTAAAACAGGGACATTTCTTCAGTAAAGACTACCTGCAGAAGGCTTCCTCAGGAGCCAGAGGTGAGTGGGGGAAGTTCGCCCACGCCAGACCCCATCTGGCCTGCAGTCCAAGCCCAGAGGGGGAGCAGGAACCCACCGCTGGGGCAGACCAGGCGCACAGGGGAGTGTGTCCCCACATCGGCATTTTAGAACAGGGACCTTTCTCCAGTAAAGACTGCTTGAAACTGACAGATGACTCCTGGAGGAACCAGAGGAGAGCAGAGAAGCTCACCCAAGATGCCGACAAGTCCCAACTACACAGTGTCCCAACGCATACGGCAAATTAGAAAACAGACAGTAGGGAGGAGAAGAACCACACGCAACCTAGCAACTCCCCAGGGAAAAAGCACACCACAAAAAGAAAAGCAGCCCCCAGATTGCAACGACAGTAACTTGGAAGAACTTCTGAGCCTTCCAGAAAGAGAATTTAAAATTGCCGTGATTAAAAAACTGACAGAAGTCATAAAGGAAAACAATGATAAGGGAAAAATAATCAACGATCAGAAGAATGCAATTGAGTCCCTAGAGAGGGAAAACAATGGTCAGAAGAATGAAATTGAGTCCCTAAAGAGGGAAGTAAAAGAAATGCAGGAGATCAAAGAATTAATGGAAGAACTAAAGAATTCTGGGAAAAGCAATGAAAGCAGAATAGATGAAATGGAAGAACGAATAAGTAATCTTGAAGACACAGAAATAAAAAGAACCAAAACAGAAAAGGAAAGAGAAGTACAAGGAAAAAGAACGAAGAAAGACTACGGGAACTATCTGACTCCATGAGGAAAGGAAATATAAGAGTTATAGGAATACCAGAAGGAGAGGAGAGAGATGTAGGAACAGAGAAAATATTCAAAGAGATAATTGAAGAGAACTTCCCAAATGTGAAGAAGGAGCTGAAAATTGATATACAAGAAGCAAGAAGAACACCAAACTTCTACGACGAAAGGAAAAATACAGCAAGACATATAATAGTAAAGCTCCCAAGAATCCAGGACAAGGAAAAAATAATGAAGCTGGCAAGAGGGAAGAAACAGATAACATTCAAAGGAAAGCCAATCAGGCTGACATCAGACTTCTCCGAAGAAACTCTACGGTCAAGGAGAGAGTGGAGGGACATAGTCAACAGACTCCAAGAAAACAGATGCCAACCAAGAATTCTCTATCCCGCAAAGCTCTCCTTCCTCTTTGAAGAAAGAATATGGACCTTCCCAGACAAACAGAAACTCCGGAATTTCATTACAACTAAACCCTCACTCCAAAAAATACTACAAGGAGTCCTAAAGTCAGAACCTCAGAGGGAGGAATAACAATGAAAGAAGGCCAAAAAAAAAAAAGTTATTAAAAGAATAAATAAATAAAATCAAAGGAAAGACAAACACAATGGCAAATACAGATGCTAACATATCAATATTAACTCTAAATGTAAATGGACTAAACTCTTCAATAAAAAGACACAGAGTTGCAGCCTGGATTAAGAAACAAAACCCAACCTTTTGCTGTCTCCAGGAAACACATTTAGCTACAAAAGATAAAAATAGGCTCAAAGTTAAAGGATGGAAAACAATCCTACAAGCAAATGGACCAAAAAAGAAAGCAGGAACAGCTATACTTATATCAGATAAAACAGATTTCAAACTCAAAAAGATAAAAAGAGACCCCAATGGTCACTACATTATGATCAAGGGGACAATACTTCAAGAAGAAATAACACTCATTAACATATACTCACCAAACGAAGGAGCACCAAAATATATCAGACAACTGTTGTCCTCTCTGAAAACAGACATCAGAGAAAACACATACGTAGTGGGAGACTTCAACACACCACTATCAACAATGGATAGATCAACAAGACAAAAAATAAGTAAAGAAACCAAAGCTCAAAATAAGGACCTAGAGCAATTGGGCTTAACAGACATCTATAGAACACTAAACCCCAAAAAAACGGAGTACACATTTTTCTCAAGCGCACACGGATCATTCTCCAGGATCGATCACATACTGGGGCACAAGACAAACATCAACAGATACACCAAGATTGAAATCATATCAACCATCTTTTCTGACCATGAAGGCATCAAACTAGAAATAAACCATAAAAAGAAGGCAAGGAACTTTCCTACCTCATGGAGATTAAAAACCACACTACTGGAAGACCACTGGACTAATGAGGAGATCAAAGAAGAAATTAAAAAATTCTTTGAATTGAACGACAAGGAGGACACCAATATCCTAAATGTATGGGATGCAGCAAAAGCAGTAATAAGAGGAAAATACATAGCAATAGAAGCTCACATCAAGAAACAAGAAAGAACTCAAAAAACAACCTAATCTCGAAGATCAAAGATCTAGAAAAAGAACAACAAAAAAACCCCAAAACCAGTAGAAGAAAAGAATAATAAAACCAAAGCAGAAATAAATGAAATTGAAACTAAAAAACAATCCAAAAGATCAATGAAACCAAGAGCTGGTTCTTTGAAAAAATCAATAAAATAGACAAACCCCTAGCCAGGCTCACAAAAGAAAAAAGGGAGAAAGCACAAATAAACAGGATCATCAATGAAAGAGGAGAAATCACAAAGGACACAGCAGAAATCAAAAGAATAATCAGTAACTACTATGAACAGTTATATGGAAACAAGTTTAACAATCTACAGGAGATGGACAAATTCCTACAACTCTACAATCACCCAAAGCTAGATAAAGAAGAAATAGAACACCTAAACAGACCAATTACAAGCAGCGAAATTGAAATGGTAATCAAAAACCTCCCCAAAAACAAAAGCCCAGGACCTGATGGATTTACAAATGAATTCTACCAAACATTCAGAGACGAATTAGTGCCTATCCTTCACAAACTCTTCCAAAAAATTGAGAAGGAAGGGACAATACCAAACACGTTCTATGAAGCCAACATTACACTAATACCAAAACCGAACAAGGACAACACTAAAAAGGAAAACTACAGGCCAATCTCCCTAATGAACACTGATGCAAAAATCCTCAATAAAATTTTAGCTATCAGAATCCAACAATGCATCCATAAGATAATTCACCACGACCAAGTAGGATTCATTCCAGGGACACAAGGATGGTTTAACATCCGAAAATCAATCAACGTTATCCAACACATCAACAAAAAGAAATATAAAAACCATATGATAATATCAATAGATGCTGAGAAAGCCTTCGACAAAGTGCAACACCCATTCATGATAAAAGCCCTTGAAATTCTTGGGATACAAGGAACATACCTCAACATCATAAAGGCCATCTATGACAAGCCAACAGCCAGTATCATTCTCAATGGTGAAAAGCTGAAAGCAATTCCATTAAGATCTGGAACAAGACAAGGATGTCCACTCTCACCACTGCTTTTCAATATAATACTGGAAGTCCTAGCCAGAGCAATAAGACAAGAGAAAGACATCCAAGGAATCCAAATAGGAAAAGAAGAAGTCAAACTATCACTATTTGCAGATGATATGATAAATACATAAGAACCCAAAAAGTCCACAGAAAAACTAATTCAACTCATCAATCAGTTCAGTAAAGTGGCAGGATACAAAATCAACACACAAAAGTCAGTAGCCTTCCTATACACAAACAATAAATCTGAAGAAGAAATCAAAAAAAACATCCCTTTTTTTATTGAAACAAAAAAAATCAAATATTTGGGAATAAATCTAACAAAAAGAGGTAAAGGACCTATACAAAGAAAACTATAAAACACTGTTAAAAGAAATAGAAGAAGACACAAAGAAATGGAAAGACATCCCCTGCTCATGGATTGGAAGAATAAACATTATTAAAATGGCCATCCTCCCAAAAGCAATATACAGATTCAATGCTATTCCAATCAAAATTTCAATGTCATTCTTCAAAGAAATAGAACAATTATTGATGAAATTCATATGGAATCACAAAAACCCCGAATAGCCAAAGCTCTCCTGAAAAAAAAAGAAGGGAATGGAGGCATCACACTCCCAGACTTCAAACTCTACTACAAAGCCATAATCATCAAAACTGCATGGTATTGGAACAAGAACAGACATACAGACCAATGGAATCGAATAGAAAATCCAGAAATAAACCCACAGATTTATGGTCAACTAATCTTTGACAAAGGAGCAAAGACTATGCATTGGAGCAAAGAAAGTTTGTTCAATAAATGGTGAGGGAAAACTGGGTCGCTACATGCAAAAGAATGAAGCTTGACCACTACCTCACACCATACACAAAAATCAACTCAAAATGGATTAAAGAACTAGACATAAGACCTGAAACCATAAAATATATAGAAGGAAATATAGGTGAAACACTACGTGATTTGCACATCAAAGACATCTTTACAGACACATCACCCAAAGCAGTGATAGTGAAGAGAAAGATAAACAGCTGGGACTACATCAAATTAAAGAGCTTCTGCACAGCAAAAGAGACAATAACAAAAACAAAGAGAAACCCCACCAACTGGGAGAACATTTTTGCACCCAACACTAATGATAAAGGACTGATCACAAAAATCTGCAAAGAGCTGATGAGACTCAACAACAACAAAGAAAATAATCCAGTCAAAAAATGGGCAGAAGAGCTAAAAAGAAACTTCTCTGAAGAGGAAATGACAATGGCCAACAGGCATATGAAAAAATGTTCAACATCACTTGTCATCAGGGAAATGCAAATCAAAACTACCATGAGATACCATCTTACACCAGTGAGAATGGCACATATTAAAAAAACTAGCAACAACAAATGTTGGCGAGGGTGTGGAGAAAAAGGAAATCTTCTGCACTGTTGGTGGGAGTGCAAACTGGTCCAACCACTGTGGAGCGCTGTGTGGAGATTTCTGGACCTACTAAACATAGAGCTTCCATATGATCCAGCAATTCCACTCCTAGGTATTTACCCAAAGGACACAGAAACATCAATTCCAAAGAACACCTGCACCCCTATGTTTATAGCAGCACTGTTTACAATAGCTAAGCTTTGGAAACAACCCAAATGCCCAAAAATAGATGACTGGATCAAGAAGATGTGGTACATATATACCATGGAATATTACTCAGCATTCAAAAAAGAGAAACACATGCAATTTGCAGCAACATGGATGGCACTGGAAGGGATCATGCTCAGTAAAATAAGCCAAAAAGAAAAAGAAAAATACTGGATGGTCTCACTCATAGCAGGAATCTAGAAAACTTAAATAAGGGACCAGGAAAACGAATAACTATAAGAAAGTGAAAATCAAAATCATCAAAAAACTACGAACCAGAGACACTTTTAAGGGGGCGGGGTGGGAGGGGAGAGATTGGGGTCAGAATGGGGGGGCTGCAATTGTATGGGGAATATAAAAATAAAATTTATTATTAAAATAAAAATAAATAAATAAATAAAACAAACCTTAGAACTAATAAATTACTCCGCTAACTTCCTTAAAAAAAAAATGTATAGGCAGTCCCCACAAAATATTTTGTTCATTTTCTGGTGAAAATCTTGCAAAATACTTGGTTGTCTTGCTTAACAGAATTTTATATGTCCCCTATGTCCCCATTCTCTCAAGGTAATGCCAGAAGTTAATGATGTACTTTCCATTTTCTATCTTGTAATCACTAAACTGACCGGGGCTCTCCTGCCACAGAGGTGGGTATGCATCTGATATATTGTATGCTCCTCCTAAAGAAACAAAAATACAAGCAATTAATACACAGACACAGGAAAGATTAGAAGTCATGGTGTTTGAGATTTTGGAGGCTGAGATTATGACAGATCTCTTATTAGGAATTGGGAGAAGTCATATTACTTTTTATACCTATTAGACCAATCAACACTTTGAATTCCCTTCCCTAAAGGTGATAGGTGGAAATAAATAAACATATACTCAAGAAAATAGGGCACACCTCCCTTATTAATCACCAAATAAATAATGTTAATTATTTACCGGTCTCTAGAACCTTTAGTAAGTCTTGGCATCATTCTAAATTTGTTTCTGTCACTGTCTTCTGTCTGTCTCCTCTCATATTAACTATAACAATAAATTGTATGTCCCTCCTATGGGTATATATATTTTAGAGGAAGGCCATTAATTCAAATTAATATATTAATATAATATACATAAAATTAAATTGGTGATATTTCAATGACATAAAATGATAAAATAATATTAGATGAAATTTGGAAGCCATTTTAGTGATATTTGGGACTTCGCCAGATCTCTTAAAATTACAGTGCAAGTCTCAGAGGTGTATATCAGACCTCAGAATCTATATTCCACATAGCAGGACCTGAGCCAGAGACTGTGCATGTAGTTTATTCACAGATATAGAATGAAAGGAACCAGAGGGTAATGAAAGAAACAAAAAGCGAACACCAGGAGAGATAAAAGGCTGACCTCTAATAAGGATGTTGATGCTTAGATAAGAAATATTATTATGAAAGAACCCTTTGAGTTGCCTTGAGGTCTGGAAGTGAGACACATTTGCATTCATCATTCACTGAACATAGCTTATTCAAGGGGTAGAACTCTCCTGCAATTCTGTATACAAGCCTGTGTGCTAAATTTGCTCTTGCAGGTGTCCCAGGAGGCAGCAGAGGCACAGAAGCCCAGAGCAATGGGTCAGAGGTAAGAGGAGTGACTGAAATTAAGCTGCTAGGTGCACTTGCATAAAGCAGGTCAAAGTTTGTGTGGAAATTATCATAGGACAGTAACTTTAGTCAGAACTGAGGTCAGGAGTGTTGAGGAGTGATAAACAAGAGATGGCCTTTTCAGATACCTTACACTGTGACCTGGATTATGGGTCATAACTAGAAATATGCAGGTTGAGGCATCATGCAGGCATAGCCCTTCCCAATAAGCACATGTGAGTGTTTAGTCTAATTGTAATGAGTTGCCAGAAGATACCTTATCAGACCCAACTTTACAAATATTTATTGAGCAGTGGCCTTACCTGGTGCTGCATCAGCACTGACCTGCCATGATGACCCAGGTAGAAAAGACCTGTCTTTGTTATGTTGAACAAAGGATTACTGTAAAATTTTAATTTATAATGAAAGAAAACAATTTCATGTGTGATAGATGAATTTTACCTTTGAGTTTTTCTAGCTTTATTGAGATATAATTGGTAAATAAAAATTGTTTGTATTCATTTATGACATTCATAGCATGACACATACCTTGTGAAATGATCACCACAATCAAACTAATAATATATTCATTACTTCACATAGTTGCCATTTTGTGTGGGTGGTGAGAATACTTAAGATTTACTTTCTTAGCAGATTTCAATATGAGACACAGTGTTATTAACCTAGAATTTATTCATCTTATAAGAGTTTTTTTTTTTTAATAGAGGCATGTTTTTATTTATTTATTTATTTTATTTGTTTGTTTGTTTTGTTTATACATGCACTGGGTATAGTCAGAAGCGCGGGAGGGTGAGAGAATACACCAGAGCCAGAGCGGGGAGCAGAGCAGGCAGAAGGACCGAAGTACACTGCTGAGGGGAGCAGCGGGCGGCAGGAGAGGTCTGCGCGCCATGTGGGACCCTCCTCCGGTGGCCGGGAGCAGCCGGGGATCGAACCGGCGCTGCAGAGGCTGCGGGCAGCTTCGCAACCCAGCGCTCAACCGCTGCGCCACCGGGGAGGCCCTATAACAGAGTTTTTAACCTTTGTTAAACGTCTCCTCATTTTCCCCAGGCCCCAGCCTCTGGCAGCCATCATTCTACTCTCTTTTTATGCATGTTAATTTCCTTAGATTCCACATATAAATTAGTCTTCAGTATTTATATTTCTGTGTCTGACTTTTTCACTTAGCATAATGTTCTCCAGGATCATCCATACTGTTAATATGGTCGATTTCCTTATTTTCTATGGCAAAATGATATTTCATTTATTTCTTGTAATTTACATTTTATTACATAAAAGAGACACAAACACAGACACAGTGCCTGAAGACCGAGAAACCCATCAGTGGAATAGAAAGTGTTATGCAGACATTATTAGGTCAGGAAAATTTTTTCTTCTCAGTTATAACATATTTACTAGTAATATCTTAATCTTTTAGGCAATATTACATTATAGAGCCTAAAAAATTAGAGTGAACTTTTAAGCAAATTTTTACCTCATGAATCTAGATGTAATGAGAAGTTCAATAATTTTTCTTCTGGAAGAGGGATGTTGCTTCATTGTTGTCATTTATTCTTTCACTATCCATTTAGTGAACACCAACTAAGTACAATATATTATAGAGAATAAAAATTAAAATAGATCACAGTTATTTTTAGGGAAATATTAAATGAAGGGGTATGGTATTTTGGAAAAGGGAATCATATCTGCAGATTCCAGATGGTAAAGGTTTCATCAGATAAGGAAAGACTTTAAAGGTGGTCGTGTATGAGTTGAAGCTGCTCTTTACTTGTATGCTTACCTTCTCTTTCCATGTATCTTATTTCACCCTGGAAAGAGGTGTTTTAGAGGCAGCTGAAAATGGATTGTGGTGAAAGGAATGAAGTGATAGGGTATAGTGTTTCAGTAAGTTATAACGTGGTAGGTACCAGGTTATACGGCGCAAATTTCCATTCTCCCATATATCTACCATTGCCTGATATATTTCCACCCAGACAACTGATCTTCATTCAGTGTATTTGATTGTATCTGTCCTTAGGAAATGAGAATGTATTCTAGAGATACGGTGAATGCGCCAGTGGGAGAAAGAAAACAACCACCAGAAACTCTTCCTTTTCAATTTTAAATTAATTGCTTCATACAGAATCTAAATATAAACTTTTAAAAACTGTCCCTATGTTTATTTGTTCTCTTTGCTCTCTGTTTCACAACTCTCAGGAAAGCTTGACCACAAATAGTTTATGATTCTCACGCAGATTTTTAGTGTCACCTAACATTGTTTAAAAAAATAGGTTTAATTGCCAATTGAGTAAACTATCATGCATGTAATAATTATCTTTCACCCATATTTGTCAAATTCAATGTCCCTCTATAACTTAATCTGTTGAAATGTCTTCAAATTTAGATGGGTAAACAGTGCTGGTGCTTTGTGTAAGGGATGACACAGTAATACAGATTCATGATGACTCACGAGTGGCCAGAGAGCTATTGAAGGGCATTATTATAACCTTCCAGGACATGAGGAAGTGCACTAGATTACAGGAACAAAATGAAGATTCTTTTACTTTAGTAATAATCATTGTTGCAAAGTTGAGCACAGATAATATAAAAACGGAAATGAACCTTTGCAGTGTTGCAATCTGCTATCAAAGATAATCTTTTTTGTCTGTGTGGGTGTGTCATTTTGATATGTTGTTAAGTTCATTTGTTTATGGTAGCATTTAAGTTTTTATTTTTAACCCATTTTCGTTACATTTGATTTTTAAAATAAATTATTAACATGTAAAATGGCAGAATTTTAAGATGGTGGCTGCAGGAGAACAAAGCCTGATGGCGGCATAGATGCACCACTAGCAACAGCCCTGCTGAAGGAAGCCTTGGCTGGCAGTGGGCCCAGGGGGGCAACAGAGCAGGCAGCACAGACTGTGGGGCCCTGAGGCCCCAGTGGGTGTTGGAGCAGGTGAAGGCAAGCAGCCAGGAAGTCCCCTGCAAGCAGCTCAGAGCTGTGTATGGTATAAGATTCAGGCTTATTTTTATTCCTCTTCATGCCAAGTTTTCCCGATCCATTTATTAAAGAGACTATACAGTCCTCTTTGTATATTCTTGACTCCTTTGTCACAAATTATTAACCATATATGCTTGCATTATTTCTGGGTTCACTGTTTTGTTCCATTGGGCTACGTGTCTGTTTTTATGCCTATATCACAGTTTGACTTAGTATAGTTTTGTAAAATAGTATTACGGAATCAGGGAATGTGGGGTTCCAGCTTTATTTTACTTTTCCAGTAATTCTTTGGCTGTTTGGGGTCTTTAGTTGTTCCTTACATTTTGTCTCTTGACTAGACGTTTTTATTTGATCTCTTTATGTAAGGATATCTCACTTATGTACAGACATCGTTGATCAATCTGTTATATGCCTTTTGAACAATGAGTTTTGCTTAACAGGGCTTTCTCCTAAGGAAAACCGATACAATAAAATGTCAAATATTTTCATTAGGGACAATTTTATTTGAGAAATAAAGAATACCAGAATTTTTTAAAATAATCATTCTTTTAATTGTGGTAACATTAGGATTCTCCCCATCAGGTTTTGCCACCATAGAGTACCCACCACCAAATCACCCACAGTCCATCATCATAGTCCATTATTCTTTCCCTTTTTGTTCCTAGTCATCCCCCACCTTCTTTCCCACCCCCTTCCTGCTTTAGATGCTTCAGGTCTTTAGTCAGTTTTCAGGGGTTAATTTTTAAGGTTGTCTTCCTCTGAATACCAGAATTTTGTGGGAAATAAGAGTTATACATTGTAGAGAAAAGGCATTACAGGTGCCTGGAACTGTCAGGAGTTATTTAACTTAATTATTTTGATTAACGCCATCAGCAAAGATTTAAGATGGTAAGTTTTAGATAATATTTAGCTCATAGTTTTAACATGCTCGTGTTCTATATATATGTTTCAGTAGTAACAAAAATATATAAAAAAGAAAATTACAAATTTGAGTCATTTATGGTGGAATACTTCAGAAATATCCTGTTGGGTGGTGAAAATTATTTCTTCAAGTGCTCAAACACAAAGAATATGGCCTCTTTCAAACACAAAGAATATGGATTGAAAATTGTGTTTATACTGTAATGTAAATTGAGCTCAGTTCTAGAATATAAAGTAGTTAAAAATCTTTATTCTAGGTGCCCAATGTTGTGTCTTGCAAGAATAACTTGTTAGAGAAGAATTTGCCTACCAGGTAGGTTATGAATAAACATTGAAAAGAAGTATAAAACTCAAGTAATATAACCTGTCTTCAACATTGATATTTGCTTTTTCATGATTATCTCAGACATTCTATAACTTCAGTGAGAGTTCCACCAGACATGTAGCTAAGTTTTGGGGGTGGGATAACAGAGATCACTGACTGGAAAATTAAAAATGCAAAGATGCAAAAAGGATAGTATGAATCAGAGCAATTTGTTTAAGATGGCAACTGTAACATTAAATTACTTTCTATCATAGAATCAAATTGATCAAAATATGATAACACCAGTTTAGGCTGGTGAAGATGGATTTAAGAGTAACAAGTTAATGATGAGTCGTCTCACAAACTGTCCAAATTTTGTTTGCATGAACTCCTTTCAAGTTATTAAAAAATCACCTCCTGTAAAAATAGGAACATTTATGTTTCTAATTAGTAAAAATATGAATACAGTTTGGAAATCTAGAAGTGTACAAACTACAATTAAATTTACATTAGTAGCTATCTGATAATTAAAAATCAAAATCACCTTTTTGTGAAATACAGTGAAACCAAACAAAGGATCAGATAAAGCCAAACTGAGAACCAATATTAGAAAGCTGATTATAGAACCAAGGCTACCAGAGAGAGCGCAGGGAGCTGAAGGAGCAAGAACAAAGTAGGGAAGGGGCACAATGGACTATGGTGGTGGACTATGGGTGTTTTGCTGATAGGTGCAGTGTGGTGACAACTCCTATACTTCTAAAACACAAGCAATGCTGTAAACCAATGTTAGCACAATTTAAAAAAAAGAAGGAAAAAAGACTAATTGATGTTTGGTAATTCAGTTTCCTTGGTTTTAGAGTAGTCTATGAAAAGATGGACTGGACTAATCCTAATTCTAAAATGCTGAGATTTAAATGTATAGTATTCATTACATGTTTAGCATTCATACTATACAAATGTATAATATTCATTCTTTCAAATGTACACTATTCAGTCATTGATATTTTCACATTTCAAAGTTAGGAAATACTGAATAATGAAGAAAAGCAAACCCCACAGTGATTACAGTTAGACAGCTCCTAGTTCTGATCTGCTTTAGCTACTTACAGTGTATCACCTAGGGCATATTATTAAACTCGATAGATCTTTTTTACTTAAAAATGAGAATAATGTCATTCATTTTATACTATCATTACACACAATACAGTAAAATACAATCAAAACTTAAAGCCTAACAGCTATTGTTTAATTGAATCTCAAAAATGTTATTTAACTATCTTTTTCTATCCCTGGTCTTATGCATCCCACCCAACTGTATCTGTTTCTTACTATATTTTCATCTGGATGAGTGATCACATCTTGCACTCCATCAACATAACTAGAAATCACTGAGAGTCATTATCTCTTTTTCCCCTTTTCAAAATGCTTACTGCTAAGTCCCATTGATCCAATGTCATCACATCCATTCAAATATGTCCTGTCATGTTGATAACCACTGCGATCACCATGTTAATTTCCTTTGAGATATAGCAAGACTTTCAGTCTTACAATTCACCTCCTATATCCTCAATCTTCATAACTTTATTTTTTTAAAGATTTATTTATTTATTTATACAAGAACCAGGGTACAGTCCAGATTTGTGGAAGGGTGAGAGGATTCACTAGAGCCAGACTGGGGAACAGTACAGGCAGACTGATGAAATACACTGCTGAGGGGAGCAGCGGGAGCGACGGGAGAGAGAGGTCTGCCGCGCCATGTGGGACCCTCGCTGGCAGGCCGGGATGGAACCGGTGCTGCAGAATCTGCAGATAGCTTCACAGCACTGCGCTCAACCACCTGCGTCACCAGGGGAGGCCCTTGTTAACTTTATTAACTTATTAACTTTAATAAGCTGAAAAATCATGTCACTTCCTTGTTTAAAAGTTCTTAGCACTTCTACAGTCAAACCAAATATAAGGAGCATGTGCAATGCACAATAACTACTTTAGTTGTCATTTCTATGTCTTTCTAACTTCTTTAGGGCAACCACTCCTCTTTATTTGCTTTAGGCTTAGGTTCCAAATGGAATGCCAACTTTAACATGTCCCATCCCCCTGTATTTAGCTTAGGTACTGGAGTGACAAAAGTCATAAGCTTTTCAGTACATTATTAAAAATTTACAAGTAAGTCACCATATGATTGTACAATATATATAAAGGGTGATAGAACAGACAGATTCTACTCTAATTAAAAAAGTGATGAGTGGGGCCTCCCCGGTGGCACAGTGAGTTGAGTGCAGCACTGTGAGGCTGTCGGCAGCCTCCGCGTCACCAGTTCAATTCCAGGCCGGCCAGGGAGATTCCCACATGGCACGACTGACCTCTCCTGTCTCACCTGCTGCTCCCCTCAGCAGTGTATTTTGGTCCTTCTGCCTATTCTGCCCCTGCTCTGTCTCTAGTGGATTCTCTCACCTTCCCGTGCCTCTGGCCTGAACAGCAGTGCTTGTATAAATAAATAAATCTTAAAAAAAAACAACGGAGAATCAATAAAATTAAAAAAAAAAGTGATGAGGGGTGTCCCCGGTGTGCAAGGGGTTAAGATGCAACCTATGAAGCAATCTGCAACCACTGCAGCACGAGTTCGATCCCTAGACAGCCAGGGAGCTACCTACATGGCTCAGCAGACCTCTCCTGACACCCCGCTGTTCCCCTTAGCAGTGTTTTTCAGTCAGTCTGCCTGTTGTGTTCCTCACTCTGTCTCTGAATCCTCTCATCACACTTCTGGGCTGTATCCCAGTTCTTGTATGCATAAATAAACAAACCTTAAAAAAAACAAAAACCAAAAAGTGATGAGAAGGCAGTCTTAGATATTAACATAGGTAGCCTGGGGGATGGCATGGTAGTGATATGAGGAAATTAACCTTCATAAAAACTGAAAGAGAAAGAAGCATCTAGAGAAGTTGGATGAAGCAGTCATTCAAAGAGTGAGGGTAGGTGGGTTCCAGGCATTATGGCATGTTTGCAAATACAGTAGTTTGGTTGCAAAGGCATAATGCTATGGGAAGAAAAGGGAGAGTTACAGGTTAGTAAGGAAAGGCCTGATTTTCACAGAATAATGTGTTTGAATCTTAATCTAAAAGCCAAGATACTATTAGGGTCACAATAAAAATTATAAGAAGAAACATGTAAAGATGTTCATTTTAGAACTGCTACCATTATGGCAGCTAGATAATACATTGAAGATCACTTAGATAAAAAGTGGTTAAACCAGTTAGGTGATAATAATGAAAACTAGGTGAGGATTTACAGAGTTTTGTCCCAGGGAAATTAAGTGTGATAATGAGGTAAAGTGATAAGATAACTTAGGAGAACCAACTTATGGGGGTAGAGGGAACATAATGACAGCTTGGTATGCTGATGTAAAATATATGTAGAGACAGAAGAGCAAGTACCCAGGGTTAACATTCAGCAGTAAAGGCTTAACTAGAAATAACAATAATCATAATGGTGCTAATTCAAACAACATGCTTTGATGATCCATCTAAATAGAGTAAGAAGAGTGTGAGGACAGATATGAAAAGCTAAGGGAAGGAGGGAAAAATCTAGGGCAATTAAGCATATATTTGTCATTTTAATGGGGAATAATTTAGATCCCCTCTTGCTTTATCATTAACTTTGTCATAAAAATAAATTTTGAGTACACTTTTGTTATTGAGCTGATGAAACTACATTGTGATAATTCATTTATGTATTTTATCCATTAAGATATGAGGCGTTGGAAGGGTAATTTTCATTAAATCATAATTCCATTCAATATATTTAAAATATGATGGGTACTCAATAATTTTGGTTGCATGAATCATTAAGTATATTTAGATCTTACATGACTTGGTTCTTTCAAGCTTCATGTATATTATAGCTCATTACCATACCTGTGACTTCATTTATTTCTGAAATGAATTTTACTGCATTCATAAGTGCTTTCTCCCGTATGCTGAAGTTACTTGTAAGAATGACACGGTCTTGTTCCATGAGTAGTCTGTGAGAGTAACCAACTAAGAAATTTGTTGAACTTTCAAAGAATGGGCGATATATTGCTGCCTTACAAAATTCAATAGCAGTTAGAAAGTCGGTGGTGAAGTTTCTTTCAACATCAGAAGAATAAAATAATCTGAAAAAGAGACACATTATCAGGGAAATGAATCACAAAGTATTTAATTTTAAAGGAAATTTTTGTACAAATGTGTGTTTTCTGCTGTTTTGTCATCAGAATATACAATACCAATATAATATCATTAATCCTCATAGTACCTTCTAAATATATTGTTCCTGGCTGGAGAATCTCTTGAACAGCAACACAAAACTTCATAAATTTTCAAATTAAGATTTGTAGAAATTATAGAATACTAACCAATCTACTCTAACTTTTATCAGATTTTGTCTTTGTGATTTCTCACTGTATTTTTCCAGTATCTCATTCTTCCACTATTCACTTCTCTTAGCAACAACAGTTTTCTAACAAAGGATGTTCAGGGAAGAGGAAAATAAATCATTAGGATGAATAGAGCGTTATCTAATAACAATTTCTGAGAATTTGTCAAAAAGTTAGATGGCTAACTGTGATGTTTATTGTGTATATTTCCTTAGATTTTTTTTTTTTTTTAGTTTATTGTGAATACGAAGTGGATTAGAAATGTATGCTGGTAACCAAATCACCTTCTTGGGTAGGATATCTTAGGGATCAAAGTCCAAGATCATGGGAACAAATAAATGAAAAAATCAGTTTCTTTTGATTCTATCTAATTTTAAAACTCAAGTGGCAGACTTGATTCTTCCTGCTGAGGATGATAAAGGAACCAAATAAGTTTATAATAAATAAGTTGTGAACAATGAAATATTATAAACATTGATGACATCAGAAAGTAGGCATGTTTTGAGAAATTGTGAGATAAAAAAGCAAGAAAATTCAGAATCCAGACTGAAATTCATATGTTGAACATCATACGAAAAAAAGGAAGAAACTAGAGTGCTTTCTCCTGCCATCTGAGGACATGACAAGAATGCATACACAAAAGTGCCCTCACTGTAATGCTGGCACCCTAATTCCTGCCTTCAGATTTGTAAGAAAATTAATTTCTGTTGCTTAAGCACCCCCACCCCAAACCCCAGTATGTAGAATTTTGTTATGGTAGCCCAAATTCTTGAGCATAGAAAAGAAACTATTTGGTAAGTATGGCAGACAAAGACATTATTCCAATTAAGGCAAAGAAGAGATTGCAACTTTAATGTTGAGAAATTAAGAGTCTGGTAGAATTGTAGCACTGAGAAGAAAAAATATAGTTACTAAGTAGGAAGGACTATGATATCCATTCCTAAATTTCACTTAGGAATTTTAAAGACTACAAAATGGGTTTAAGAGTGAACAATAAAACTGTATTCCTATAGACTTAAGTTCATTTATGGAAAATCATAACCTCTATTTGATTTTATTGGCTGTGGCTCTAGCCTGGCCGACAGAAGCAAAAATGAATTTTCTCTGGAGTAAGATAATAGTGTGCATAGGCATACTTTATCTATAATATTTTTGAATGATGTTCACATTTAACTACTACTCAAAAGTGTATATATAATAATATTATACCATATTAGTATGAGGAAGTATATGGAACAAAGGGACCTACTAATATTTCTGAAGTGAACTCTAATTTGTATAAAAGTATAGACTATTTCATATATCTACTAAACATCAATATATGCAGAGGTGTAGGTGTAGGTGACTCAGAAAATTTCACCAGAAATTCAGAAAATTTCACCAGAAATTCAGACATATGCATAGTAAAACACATGAATCAGAATGTTCATAATGGAATTATTGTGATAATAAATAATTAGAAACAGTTCATTAGTCCTTTCACAGTAGAATGTCCTTTTCCAGACATATGTTCATTTGTTAAACAGATATGAAAAAGGCTAAACTGGTGTTGCATATAACAACATGGGTAGTGCCAATGATCAAAGTCTGAATAGGAGAAGTAAAAACAGTTCTTGTATTATTCCATTCCTATAAGGCTTAAAAAAAAGCAAAAATAACAAAGGGTCAGGTGAAACAAAACCAGTAACAAACCTTGGAAATTTGACTGTAGAAATTAAGGCTACCAGAGCGGGAGGGGAGAGCTAAGTGGGGAGGAGACACAATGGGCATGGGTGCCTTGGGGTGGCGTGGGGTGGTAAAATACACCTACACCTCTAACTCATAGAGTGTTGTAAACCAGCATTGTCTCAATTAAAAAAATTAACTATAAGCAAAAACACTCTGTACTTTTAGAATGGTAGTTACTTTTCAGTAGAAGGGAAATAGCAAATAAAAGAAGGAAAGTTGTCCCCTGAATGATGGTTAGGTTCTATTTTATTTATTAACAAAGGGCAGTTATTTTACGACAACCCATTAAGTTGAATATGTACGGCCTGTGTATTTCTCTGTATATTTGCTATATGGCAATTAAATACGCATTATAAGACTATAGTACAAAATGCTGGTTACCAGAGCAGAGGGGCAAGTGGGATGAATGGGCAGATGGGGTCAATTTCATAATGGCTAATGGTACTAGAGCTTTAGTGGAGGGTGAGGTATGATACATACATTTACTGAGGTCTGAAGCCATACTCCTGAATATAATGTAGTATTATAAGCCAACAGTCAATTAATAAATAAAAAAATTCATGTTTCCTCTATGGTTACAGCATAAGAGTTACAGCAATAGTAATACTCCCTTAAACTCGGCCATAGAGAACATGATAAAAGGTCTTGAACACTAAATTATTACACATATTTTCCTCATCTAATTCAATTTCATTATATCAAGGGATTCATTATTTATAATAATCTCACTATTCCTGTGCTGATTGTAATACATAAAACACAAAATGAATAAATGTAAAATTGTTCAGTTCTCCAAAACGAGTAAGAATTTTGAAAAGCTTGAAAAGATAATGATTTCAAAGCAGTAGGTAACAGTAGTTGGCCCATAGAAGCAATCAAAAAAGTAAATAAGTTACCATAAAAAGAAGCAGGAACTAATTTATCAGTATCATTCTGCAGATGACTTTAAAGGAAGTTTGGAGACGATGTCTAAAAAAATCTGGGGGCAATGGGCATGACATCACTAAAATTAAAAATTTGCACTATGCCAACCTTTGTTATAGTCAGACAACATTAACACTGAAAGACAACTGAGTAGGCTAAGAGTTGCTAAAAAGGATTCTGCAGTGGCAGAGAGAAAAAACAGTGAAAAAGAATTCTATGAATATGTGAAGATATGCTGCCATGAACCATTGAGTGTATAATTTTTGCCCATTAAATCAAAATATATCTTAACTCACAAAATCAATATAAAATACTATACAAAATGTAGTTGCCAGTGATATTTATAATTTTAAATAATGATCTCTCCAGGGTTTTTTGAGGTTTCCATATCTAGTTGCTATATAAGAAAAGCAACATCTAAAAGTTAACTAAAGGCTGCTTTGAGATAATTTTTTATGTTTAATGACTAAATTTAGATAATTTAAATCTCCACAACTCATATTTATACTAAGAATCAGCTCATTGGGGTCAGTAGGTCATGGACAGTGCCACAAGTAGGAGCACAGAAGTTGACAATGGGCGTCATAGTTGACCTAGAGTTAGGGAGACAAAGGCCTAGAAGAAGGAAAAGGTCAGGACCGAGATCCTGGATTCTGTTAAATCTTTTTATTTAACTATTACCTACATTAAGACCCTCTGATAATTAGAAGGGAACCCCATTGTAGTCATGGTCTACTACTAAGTGAAATGTCATGTATTTACCTGGGCTTATATGAAGCATATTAATTTCACAGTTTATCTCATAACAGATGAACAAAAATAGTCATCTCTTTAAGAAAACACTTAAAATGTATTATAGAAATTAAGTGATTAGGAAGACCCAACAAAACTACCTAACAATGAACAAATACATGGTTACTACTTCAAACCATTTTTGGATTGGGGAGATAAGGGATATTGCAAATTGAAATCTGACTCAGAACCTTTTGTCATGCTATTTACACAGCTGTCTTATATTAAAAACTAGAATCCAGAACTAGAAATTAATTGCATATCATGTCCATAAAAATTGATTAAACATAGAGAATTACTTTACTATGAAACTGTACTGTCAAAAAGTGTTATGGAACTTCCTTCCAGAAATGTAAATAATCAGTCATCTTTTCATCGGTATCATTGATGGACCATATGACTCTTAGATAAATTACAAATAAAATAGATATATCCTAAAACATTCTGGAATATATGAGAAATTACAATTTGAGACAATAAAAATTTATACATTGTGTTTTATAATGCCAGAAAGAAACAGAGTTAATTGTATCACACAAAACAGTCATCTTACATGCCACTAAACTTTGATAATCCAACATTGATGGCTGCTTGATGGGCATCCCACATGTTAACGATTGCTGTGCCCTTGTCTGTGTTGTACTTAGGAATGCCTCTGTAATATGAAATGATCTTTCTGGACTGCAAGTACTAAAGAACTAACAATAAGATCTATGTGAAAGAAGATGTCAAAATAAAATTTAAAATACCATTGACAACAAATATCATGAATTCCTGAAATAGAATACTGTGAAATACTCATCTACTGGTTTATCTTATAGAAACAGGCTTATGTTCAAAACAAATTTTAATCCTTGAAGATGTCATTTTTTACTGATCTGCTTTACAAATTCATGCTTATTTTCATAGACAAACATTAACATGGTAATTATTATATCATTTTTAATATAAGCAGCTTTTTAATAAATAAAATTATGCTAAGCTGCTATTAATTATTTATTTAGTTTTATTTCAGGATACCAATGGGAACAATTCTACAGTGGCAGGGACAAAACTTTATATTCATAGTGTCATATGCATGTAAATATGAAGTTTAGTCTATTTTTATTTTTTTTTTTTAAATTTAGATTATTTATGCGGGCCTCCCCTGGTGGTGCAGCGGTTGAGTGCTAGGCTGCGAGGCTGCCCGCAGCCTCTGCAGCGCCTGTTCGTTCCACAGCTGACAGCAAGGGTCCCACAAAAAAAAAAGATTATGCATACAAGAACTGGGGTACAGGCCAGAGGTGTGGAGTGGGGGTGAGAGGATTCACCAGAGACAGAGTGGGGAACAGAACAGGTGGATTGATGGAAATACACTGCTGAGGGGAGCAGCAGGTGAGTCAGGAGAGGATTAGTTGCGCCATGTGGGTAGCTCCCTGGCCGGGTATCAACCTTGTGCTGCAGTGGCTGCGGATAGCTTCAGGTTGTGTCTTAATCCCTTGCATGACCAGGGATGCCCTAGTCTATTTTTAAATGATAAATCTGTTGGAAGAGCTACAGCGCCTTCTCTTACCCCACTAGTAAAAACTAAAAACCACTCTTTTACCTGATAAAACCTTCCGGCTGCATCCATAGCTTCGGGGTACAATTCACGGCATTCCACAATTGAATAACAGAAAATATATCTATATTCATCTGGAGATATTAATGTTATTACTTCATATGGTAAATTCTTCAAAAGTTTACTTTCAATGGCAGCAAGGAAATATGTAACAATCACATAGAAGTTGATGTATGTAACAGAAGGAAGGTGTCTGGAATCATCAACTGCTTATTCAAAAGAGGAAATAGCTCAGTCTGTACCATTTAGTCAGTTTATCCTTGATGCCATTATCTTGATTTTGTTGGCCCTGGGAAAGACACAGGACTAGAACTCAGAGTAATCACAATCAGAAAATTTTTTCATGTCAGGAGCACACTTTGGGTGCAAATACTTGTACATGAGTCTATCTAATTTAACCCAGTTCCATATTATATATGCTATTCCCATATATATGTATACAGCGTGTTTTATGTGTTGCATAGATAATTATTCTTTCTTTAAAAGGAAGTATATAATAAGGTCTGACTAAGGAAAATATTTACCTCATTTTGGGAATATATGAAGATGTTCAATATGTTATTTGTGGACACTCTGCCTAAATTGAGGATATGGTTCTGAATTAAATATTTTGTTATTGGCTCTTGGTTCTTTTAGATATTCATGTTTCTTTTTTTTTTTTCCCATTCAACTCAATATATTTTCTTTTTTTTTTTTTAATTTTTCTAGAGGCATGTTTTATTTGTTTGTTTGTTTGTTTGTTTGTTTTGTTTATACATGCACTGGGTACAGTCAGAAGCGCGGGAGGGTGAGAGAATTCACCAGAGCCAGAGCGGGGAGCAGAGCAGGCAGAAGGACCGAAGTACACTGCTGAGGGGAGCAGCGGGCGGCAGGAGAGGTCTGCGCGCCATGTGGGACCCTCCTCCCGTGGCTGGGGAGCTGCCGGGGATCGAACCGGCGCTGCAGAGGCCGCGGGCAGCTTCGCAACCCAGTGCTCAACCACTGCGCCACCGGGGAGGCCCCATAATATATTTTCTTAATTTCCAATTTGGTATCTTTCTTCTGGTTTTTGACGCTAACTCATTTCAACCAGCACTCACTCTTGTGCTGGTACATATTTTGTCTTTGGATTGCTGATCTATTTACTGATTGCCGTGTTCATCTTGTCTACTGGATTTCCAGTATCCTGGATATTTTCAATCCCTGTTGTTCCTAAATTTACTCCTCTGCCTGGCTTAGGCCCTCACAAGCCTGTGTCTTCTGTTAATGAAATACATCTTCCTGTGGTCCTGCTTAACAAACAGAAAAATATTTTGATTTATAATATAAGATACAGGAAAAGCAAAGGTACCTAGTGGTATAGAACATAAGGGAGAAAATACAAACAATTGACAGGAATTTTTAAGGAATGTTTTTCAGTCTTTCAGAGAATTCATTTTTGCATTACTTGCACCGTGGTGAAATAAGTGACTTCATTTTACTTGTTTCGACTTTTAACCTGAAATTGCAAAATTGAATGGACAATTTTTAATATGAACTTTAGCTGGATTGCTCTATATTGTACCTAAAAGAATTTTGTTCATTACTAAGTATTCTTTTATTTTGAAATGTACACTTACAAGTTTCACTTTTTACAAATCTTGCCCCTAGTGAATTTATATTTCTGAACAAATCATTGAGAAACCGCTGAAATATTCAATGTAACCTATACTTTAAGGACTAAAAGATGTTTGCAGCTGGATTTGAAATATCATTATCAAAGTGTTTACAGATTAGATATTTAGAAGGGCAACTTGGCACAACAATTTAGAAAGGCAACTTGGCACAGCAATTAAAAAAAATAGTTTTGAAGATAGATGAGTGCTAAGAATCAATTACTAAATTTTTGAAAAGCAGGATGTTACTCAACCTCTCTTAGCTTCTGTTTGACTCTGCATTTTGAGAGTATTACTATTAATATATCATGATAAGGATTAAATTGAACAAGGCTTTGTGGAGTTTACCTAAGGTGCTGGAATGTAGTAGTGTGGAATAAATAGCTGGAGAAAGGATGGGGAAATATGTGCAATAGCAACAGAAAGTCTGAAATACTGGGTACTTTAAAAAATCATTTTCTTTAATATTTATGTAAACTGAGTGACATACTGTACATCACAATTTAGAAATGGCCGCAGTGACAGTTGTCTTTCATATTTGGTTTTTAAAAATTGATTAGCCCCCAGGGAAACTGCACTGAAAATTTTATATCTTTTCAAAGGGAAGATTGGGGTTTACTCCAACTTATCCTACCATATATGAAAGCAGAATGAGCAGAGCTCATGGCCATAGAGCAGTTAAAAACAAAACAAAACAAAGGAAAAAGCATAAGAAAAATATGGCACTGGGCCTCCCTGGTGGCGCAACGGTTGAGCGCTGGGTTGAGAAGATGCCCTCAGCCTCTGCAGCGCCGGTTGGATTCCCGGCCACCAGGTGAGGGTCCCACATGGTGCACAGACCTCTCCTGCCACCCGCTGCTCCCCTCAGCAGTGTATTTCTTCAGTCTACCTGTTCTGTTCCCCGCTCTGTCTCTGGTAAATCCTCTCACCCTCCCATGCGTCTGGCCTGTACCCTGGTTCTTGTATAAAAAAATAAATAAATCTTTTTTAAAAAAAAAAAAAAGAAAGAAAGAAAAATATGGCACTTACCTCCCCAGCCACTCTTGATGGATATGCAGCCAGAGGTTTCAGCATCATAAGCACAGACTGAACCATCTTGGGGCTCTGAAAATCGATCTGCAGAGAAATAGAATAGATTTTAAAAAATCCCTAGGAGACAGTTTAAATTTGTAATAGAAAAGCATGGGAATTTCCCCTTTAAAAACAGTAAGGTTAGTCCTGCTGTAATATGTCTTTTCATAGCATTTTGTTTTCTATCATGATTAGGAAACTGGAAACTTCTCAGAGATGTCAGTGAGGAAAGAGCCCACTGAACTAAGCTGGTCCAGCAGAGTGTCTACTTCCTAGGAAGTTCTGTTGGTCAGTTGGTAATCTTAAATAAATGAAGAGGTACTTGTTTTTTTCCCCCCAGCACTTTATTTATTTTTATTTTTTTTTATCTTAACATTTATCATTTTTTAAGTTTTTTAGACAATATTTGCTTCCCCCCATGCCCTCGGATTGAGTCCCCGTAGAATTTCCTCCCTAAAGGCACCCATGCACCATCACCACAGTCCCCTGTGCTTCTCCCTCCCTCCCTCTCATCCCTCTCCCTCCTCCTCCCCTGCAGGATGTCTCTGGTTTATAATTGTCTGTTTTGAAGAGGTACTTATAATAATTAAAGTGTGTAAGAAGGCTTTGTCTATACCAAAGCACTACATTGTAATCTTCGTGTTAGTCTATGTCTGGTCTGAGCTACTAGGAAATCCAGTCACTTCCAAAGAAGACAATTTGGGTTCCCTGAAAAGAGCTGGTTCAGGCATGGAAACTTAGAAATATGTAAACTGATTCTAGGACCAGAGAGAATAAAAGGTAGATTGGGAAATTTATCTCAATATAAAAAGAAATCTCTGGATACCCAGAATTCTAAGTCAAAGCATCAAATATCTACTCGACTTTCACCAACCAGCTTGTTCCAGTGCAAGAAGAGAGAGGGGTCTGCTCACTAGAAATTGCTCTCTCTTGTTCTCATTCCTCTTTGCTTGAATCTGACAGCTAACAGAAAAAAGACTGCACTAGGCGCCATAACGTAGATACTCTTTCCATTAACATGGAAGCAAAAGCCAGACTTTTAAGGAAAAGTATTTTCCTTACCTTAATTTGTATGAAACCTCACCCTGCATTTTATAGTCAAAAGAATATTTTTTGCCATATTTCCTATAATAATCTCACCTTATGCAATAAAGATTATCGGACCACATTTCTCTGAAAATTTCATACTTTAAGAGGATGATATGTCAAAAACTAAAGATTTTGAATTAGGGAGTGGGACATTTAATCTTTGAGCTACATGCTCTGTAGCACACAGGAATTATTATAAAACTATAGAAAATGCA